GTTTCAAGGATTCTCATGGCGAACGCCCCAGAAAAAGTGTTTTGGCACGATGTAGGGACGTCAGGGCGCAGCAGTTACGTTGATTCGCGTTGTTGAAGTCCCAGGCACGGTGTTCTGGCACGATTCGGGATCGTCAAGACGCAACAGTAGCGGTGATTCGCGGCGTTGATGTCCCTGGAATGGCGTTCTGGCACAATTCAGGATTTTCAAGCGGTTGTCTATCAACAGGGCACTTCCCTCAGTGAAGATGAATCCTTGTAGGGACCTGTGAAAGAAGGAAATTGGAGTGCGGACTTAGTGCAATATATCATTGATGAGTCGTAAGATTAGACTGGTGCCCCTACTGCTCCTCCTCCTCCTCCTCCCGCTCCTCCTCATGATCCTCCTCCTCCTCCTTCTCGTCCTCCTCCTTCTCCTCCTCCTCTTCCTCCTCCTCCTCCTCATCCCCCTCCCTCTTCCTCCCTCTTTCCCTCGATCCTGACCCTCACCTTCTCCCTAATCCTGCCGAGGTCGGCCGATTTCAAAAACACGAACATCGTCGTTGCAAATCTTCTCGCAACGCGAGAGGGTCTGGGCGTTCTGCCCCCCCGCCGCAAGCTTGAAGAGCGGGGGGCGCAACGCGACGCACCGCTGCGCGGGCGCCGGCGCCGACCTCCGCGGCGCCCGCCAGCATCGCGGCCAGCGGGCGCCCTGGTGAGGGGGAGCTCATCCTCCAACTCTTGTTCCTCCTCCGCCTCTTCCTCCTGATCCTCATCCCCATCATCACCATCATCACCACCACCACCATCATCATCATCATCATCATCATCATCATCATCATCATCATCATCATCATCATCATCATCATCATCATCATCAGCATCATCATCAGCATCATCATACCGTCGTCATCAGCATCATCATCAGCATATGCATCAGAATCCCCATTGCAACACCATCACCATCATCGCAATAATCATCATCATCATCATCATCATCATCATCATCATAATCATCATCATCATCATCATCATCATCTTCATCATCATCATCATCATCATCATCATCATCATCATCATCATCATCATCATCATCATCATCATCATCATCATCATCATCATCATCATTAGTATTATCAGCATCATCATCATCATCATCGTCAGCATCATCACCATCATCATCATCATCCACATTCCCATTCCCATTCCAATGCCCATGCCCATTCCCATACCCGTTCCCATCATCATCAGCAGCAGCATCATCACTATCAGCAGTATCATCATCATCAACATCATCATCATGATCATCGTCATCGTCATCGCCATCGTCATCATCATCAGCAGCGTCATCATCATCACCACCATCATCAGCAGCATCATCATCACCATCATCATCAGCAGTATCATCATTATCGTAATCGTCATCACCACCACCACGACCACCACAAATCACCATCATCATGACCATCATCGTTACATCACCATCATCACCATCATCAACAACAACCGCGTCATCATCGTAACAATCAGCATCACCAACACAAACATCAACATCAGCATCAGCATCATCAGCATCAGCTGAAAATCCTCAACATCATCACCATCATCATCAGCATCATCAGCATCCTCATCCTCATCCTCATCCCCATCATCATCATCCTCATCATCATCCTCATCATCATCATCATCGTCACCATCATCATCTACATTCGCATTCCCATTCCAATGCCCATGCCCATTCCCAGACCCATTCCCATCATCATCAGCATCATCATCATCATCAGCAGCAGCAGCGTCATCATCATCAACATCCCTTTCCTCCTCCTCCTCCTCCTGCGCCTGCCCCTCCTCCTTATCACCCTGTTCCTCCTGTTCCTCCTGTTCCTCCTCCCCCTCCTCCTCTTCCCGCTCGTTCCTGCTCGTTTCTTCTCCTCCTCCTCCTCCTTCTCGTTCTTTTCCGCCTCCTCCTCCTCCTCCTAAACCGCATCCTCCTACTTCTTACCCACATTGGCGACCAAATCCTCTGACAAGGGCCGCAGTGGCTTGGCCACTAAAAACATTTCTCGGAACGGGTTGGACGCAGGTCGCCTGGCTGGCCCCACTCTCCTACACCCGTCGGAAGCTCTTCTCTCTCAAGACAACCCACGAGACGATGTCCACCTTTAGTGATGGTCTATGGCTTGCACAGCTTACTGAGTTCCTGGAAACTCTGGGTGCTGTAACTCCACAGGCCCGACACCAAGAGATCCTTCTATCCGCCACCGTGCCCTTGAGGGACGAGTTGGACTCGAGGCACGAGTTGGAGTGTCCTCAGGTCCCTTGCCCAATCTCCTGGAGCCTCGCCGCAGTCCCCAATCCTGGAAATTACTTACAGGGTCTGGACCCCAAGTTCACACAAACCTTATGAAATGTGTCAGGTGGCTCCCGGGGCTCCTGGCACCTTCCGCGTGACCTCTTCGGACCCACGAGGGCCCCAAGACGGGCCAAGAGCGCCCCAAGAGGCCCCCAAAACGGTCTAAGAGAGCCCCGAGTCGCCGAATGATCGCCCCAAAACGCCCGAGGTGGCTCCAAGACGGCCCCGGATGCCCCCAAGATGCCCAAGAGGCCTCCAACAGGCCTCACATAAGGTCCCCATGACGCAAAAGAAAATGTTGTTTTCCTTGGGTGTTTGAAGGATGTGGGCATGGCCGCTTTCTCGGCCTCCCCACGCTCAAAGACGGCCCGAGAGGCCGCCAACTACGACAAGTACAACGACTACTACGACTACGATTGCGCATGCGACGACGACGACGACGACGACGACGACGACGACGACTACTACTACTACTACTACTACTACTACTACTACTACTACTACTACTACTACTACTACTACTACTACTACTACTACTACTACTACTACTACTACTACTACTACTACTACTACTACTACTACTACTACTACTACTACTACTACTACTACTACTACTACTACTACTACTACTAGTCTACTTCTACTACTACTACTACTACTACTACTACTACTACTACTACTACTACTACTACTACTACTACTACTACTACTACTACTACTACTACTACTACTACTACTACTACTACTACTACTACTACTACTACTACTACTACTACTACTAGCTACTACTACTACTACTACTACTACTACTACTACTACTACTACTACTACTACTACTACTACTACTACTACTACTACTAACTACGAACTACTACTACTACTACGACTACGACTACGAAACTACGACTAACGACTAGGGGGGGGCGAAAACCTAACCTCGGCTACTACTAACTACTACTACTAACTACTACACTACTACTATACTCTACTACTCTTACTTACTAACGGCGAGAACGAGACAAAGAAAAAAACCAGTTTAAAAACTACTACGACTGCGACTACTTACTACTGCTACGAACTACGACTACACTCCTCACTACTACTTCCTGCACTCTTACTACTCCTACTCTACTACTACTACTACTACTACTCTACTACTATACTACGACTGATACCACGACTACTACGACTACTCGACTACTACTACTACTACTACTACTACTACTACTACTAACTAATACTACTAACTACTCTTACTACTACTACTGCTACGACTACGACTACTACTCCTAACTACTCCTGCTCGCTTACGACTACTACTACTACTACTACTACTACTACTACTACTACTACTACTACTACTACTACTACTACTACGACACTACTACTACTACTACTACTACTACTACTACTACTACTACTACTACTACTACTACTACTACTACTACTACTAACTACTACTAACTACTACTACCTACTACTACTACTACTACTACTACTGCTGCTACTACTACTACTACTACTACTACTACTACTACTACTACTACTACTACTACTACTACTACTACTACTATTTACTACTACTACTACTACTACTATTATTACTACTACTACTAATACTACTACTACTACTACTACTACTACTACTACTACTACTACTACTACCACTACTACTACTACTACTACTACTACTACTACTACTACTACTACTACGACTACTATATTCTTACTACTACACTACTACTACTACTACTACTACTACTACTACTAGTACTACTACTACTACGACGAACGACGACGACGGACGACGACGACGACGACGACGACGACCACTACTAACTACTACTACTACTACTACTAAACTACTACTACTACTACTACTACTACTATACTACTACTACTACTACGGCTACGACTACGAGTACTACTAACTACTACTACTACTACTACTACTACTACTACTACTACTACTACTACTACTACTACTACTACTACTACTACTACTACTACTGCTACTACTACTACTACTACTACTACTACTACTACTACTACTACTACTACTACTACAACTACGACTACTACTACGACTACTGCTACCACTACCACTACCACTACTACTACTACTACTACTACTACTACTACTACTACTACTACTACTACTACTACTACTACTACGTCCATTTTTCCATCCATCGACACGGGGAGATACAAGACTTAGCTGTACCTGAACAGAACATTCAGTGAGTGCAACTATGGTGGACTACGCACAAAAAAATCCCGTCGCAGGGCATTGTATCCCTTTCTCGCCTGGCTGGGGCGCACCATGTAGGGGGCTCAAGAGCGGCTGACCTGCTGCGGCATGCGGGACTTGCATCACCTCAGGCCCAGGACCTGGGCTGCCTCGTCATCTGCTTCCCAGTCCATGGGTTGTGCACTGTCTACCGTGGAAGACGGGCGATTGTGAGCACAGAATCGAGGTCGAACACTGGCTGGCACACTGCAGGCACGGCTATCTGGCTTAAGAGCAAAACTAATCGTTCGACTGCGGAGTGCGTTCGTGCCGTCTAAAATTGACGGCTCTAAAAAGAAGGCGGGCAGCTGCTCGCCTGCTGTGAAAAGTACAGGAGCGTGGATCGTGGCACCTGACGGTGGCACCTGCGGCGCCTCGA